CACATGACCTTAAAATTGTCAATTGTAGGGTTTCTATGGAACGCCACAGCTGTCTTATGTGGAACTCTGATATTACGTTATGTTGTTCTATTATTACTTGGTGATAGTTTGTCTTTACATAATATGGTTTTGACATTACGTAATGATTTTTTGATATAACTCAATATGGAGAAGTCATTACTTATAATGATATTCCGATATTACATGATATGGTTTCGTATTGACTTGATATAGTTTTGTCATTACTTAATATGGTTTTGTCATTACTCGATGTGGTTTTCACCATTATTTAATGTGGTTGTGTCATTAGGCAATGTGGTTTTAACATTACTTGATGTGTATGTGACGTAACGCAATGTAGTTGTTTCATTACATGATGTGGTTTTGTTATTTCGTAATGATGATTTGCCAATTCTTTATATGGCTTTAACATTACGTAATGATGTTTCAAAATTTGACGATTTTACACTACATGATGTGTTTGTTTCAGTATTTGATGTGGTTCTGTCATTCTTAGATGTGGTTATCCAATTATACTTGATCTGTGTTTTGTGGTAATAAGCATTGTGTATGAGTTTCATAACATTTGGTTGAGGCAAACTCAAGTTAGAGAACGGAAACGCATTTTGGGACGTACGTACGTACGTACAGACGGACAAGGGTAAAACTTAATGCTACGGCGGGGGCATAAAAGTCAATTCCTGTATTCAAATATACATGTACAAATACCTAATACTGAGATAATTCCCATTACTGTTAGATAACAATATAATGGGGAATATACAAATAAATTTTTTGCAGATAATGCTCAGTTAAGAGTTAAGCAATTGTGTTTATTGCTTCAACCAAATTATTGATTGTAATTTAAATAGATCTTAATTATTAACATATGTCAGATGATTATGACACTGATTTTATAACTATTTAGGTGAAGATTTTGTGTATTCAGTTTAATAATGGACGTGTAATAAATTGAATACACAAAGTCTTGACCTCAATACCAATAATAATAAATGTCAATTTAATATAAATTTTGATTTACAAAGGAACTATATGCAAGTGTATATCTAAAAAAATAAGTTGTTCACCCAACATTGTCTTAATTTAAGGACAAATAGCATATCAAAAGTTGGTAGTTGGTGATTAAAATGGTGTATAAAGTTTCTGCAAGTCAAAGAAACACATAATAATTTTTCATGGAATGTCTTCAACTTAGAATTTTGCACCATCTCTAAATCCAGAGTGATCGCATAGATCCAGCATGGCTGAATCAAAACATAAATAAAAGACTTACTTTGCTTTTTTTAAAAGTGGTACGTGGTGTTGAAGATCATGAGAAGTCTTGTGGCACACAACTGGCACAAGGAAACATTAAAATAGCTTAAGGATGCAGCGCATGTTTTGCTAATATCTGTCTTTACAGTCATTAATTGATTATCAATAAGATCTACAAAATTCAGTCAACAGCACAGTAAACACGACCCAGAGGGTTGACTTTGGCAAAATCCGTTTCCCCTAAAATTAGATAGTACCCCCTTTTTTGTTTGGACAATGTTGTGAAATATCCATATTCGATAACTTCGGATTTCAAACTGTGTCTCACATACTTATACATCCCTCGGATTTCAAATGTTTGGCTTTCAGCGCTCCTCATGAAGGGAAATCCAGAAAAGCGCTTCGGACGCATGAAATTATTAAACGTGTTCTTTTCAATTTTTTAGCAATCGTTGTTTTACATAGATGTCAATTCTTAAATTTATCTATTTCAAGGACAATCATGAAGAGGTATTATATAACAGTATTATTTGGGGACCAGCTTGTGCTGCAGTCGATTTAGTTATAGACAAAATCAAACTACCCGACCTATCTACTGGAGATTGGATATACTTCGAAGATATGGGAGCATACTCCTTTACTACAGCAACCAATTTTAACAGTATGCTAAGAGTCGGGGAGTACTTCACATGTGAAAAGAAATTATGGTATATTTTCTTGCTTAACAAAATTACAAAATTACAATAATCTTTAATTTTTATTTTAGTAGAAAATGTATATTTAGAGGTTAACACTTAATTACCATACAAAACATACGTTTGATCAATGTTAAGGAGGATGTGTTAAACAAAAGAAAAACAGAATTATCAACAGCTTGCAAAAAAAGATAATTCAAGTTATCATTATGTCAATTTAGTGGTGACTAAATAGTAGCACTACAGTCTTAAAATGATTTTTAGTAAAAATAAATCATAACATTATTTTAACATATATTTAAAGTATGAATCAATCTGAACATTTTGAAAAAAAAATCCAGTCATCATCATGTCACAACAGGGAGTAAATTAATAACTAGATTGTGTAAAAAAAGAGCACATTGTTAGTACTTAGTATATCATTGCTTTTGGGAGGAGCTAATATTTCAATTATATTCTATACTTAGTATATGAGTGCTTATGGGAGGAGCTAATCTCTCAATTATCTGTTGTTTCCAATTGTCAAACTGTTCATCTTTGACCACCTGACAAAAAATGTGCTCTTATCTTATTATGCTGCATTCAAAAGTCTTTTATATAAATATGGCGGTATACAAAGAAAATCTAAGACTTAAAAATGAAGAGTGGAAAAAAACTAAAGTGATAAAGAAATATATTTGTAAATGTGTAAGAGTAGTCTTGAAAGTCCTTGACAAATGTTCTTTCTTAGGCAAGATGAAAAGGTATCTGAATCTGACACCAGCAGCAGTGACAACAATATTTACTCTAGACAATAGAGACCTGGATAATAAAGTGTTTTTCCCTGAAACTTTTATATACATTTGTATTCTTCGTTTATGTGATGATCATGCCTTCTGTTTGTTGAAATTTAAGCATTTAAACAATTTTTGTGTTTGTATTATTTTCTAACTTCCTATACCTAAAAACTCAAGCGAGACAGTCTAAAAATATGGTACCAGATCACTTCTTGGGTGTTCCCTATGGAACTTTTATATTTATGCTGCATTTGTAGTTGCAAAAAATAAACTGTCAAATGGGAGGAGCCAAATAACCAACAAAAAACATACAGTGGTTCCTATTCTTCCTACAGTAATAAACTGTTAACACAGAGACATGTCTCGCCTATTTGTTTTTTCGATAATGCAAATGTTGAAATAAAAATAGCAATACTTTAACATGTAAGTTATGCAAATATTCAAAGTCAATGAACCATGACTGAAGGTACAGGGCTAAACAATCTCCATGGAAATGAGATGTGCCAATGCTAATACAATTCACCATGAACCAGACCTAATCACAAACTAATACATTGTTGACGCCGCCGGAAACAGCATACCTATGTCTCGCTTTTTTACTCCGTCAATGCGAGACAAAAATCTTAGCTTGGTTTAAAAGTTTCGGTTGGATAATTCCTGATGAAGATATTTTCTGAAAAGTGCTACCTATGCACCAAATCTATATATTGCATTAACTCATATTTTCTTGCACTGGACCAATACTACTGCTCCAAGACAGTTAGTCCAAACAGGTATCAGCATCTTAGTTAAAGCCACTGACATTATGTATTTACATGACTTTGTATAACATACATATTCCAATAAACTGTTCATCAATTAGAAAAGTATTAAGAACACTTAGTCCACCTCCCTCAGACTAAGGTGACCTGAGATAGTTTTGTTTAGTTTTTTATGTTTGGGCCATTTGCTCAAATAATTCCTGAAGTATTAATATATTCTAAACTTTAAAATCAAAGGTCTCGAGCATTCCTGTTGAAGGTAAATCCAGAAAATAGATTCTAATGCACCAAATTTCTGTAATTTTTGTTTTCTTCTTTTTCTTTTATTGCAGTGAAACAACCACACATTCTATTCCCATAGGTAATTAAAAATACTGATTTGAAACAAACTTTAATGCTAGGTACAACATTATAAAAGTCAATTCAAAGTCATGTTCAGCCAGTCTCTTTTCCACTACTGTAAGTTCAGACATTATAGCGTTCCTATATTATTGCAAATAATTCATAGAGTGAAAAAATGCAAGATTAATTATTGCGCTTTCAAAAAAGTCATATTGCAATCCTCATAAAGTCACATTATTACCATTAATGTAAACCTTGCAATAATTTCTGAATTTACAGTATTCACATGGAACAAGAGTGCAAACATCAAAAGGTCAGTATAACACATTCATAAACATATAACAAAAACTTAATATTATCAAAATGATCAATGATACATGGAAATCAGGTCAAAGTAAAATAATCAGACAATTCATCACACCTTACTGTCATTCTATTAACATGATCAACTTGCATAGTTAATTTATTTCGATTTGAATCTAAGAAATAGACCTTTTCATTAAAACTTCCTTCTGACTAAGGAACCAAGATAATCAGGTCAAGGTCAGAAGAACCTGTCAGACAAACTTGATACCCAACAATCATTCTATACACCATATATAGAAGGTCTACTATGACAGTCAGGGGTACTACTTGTACAAGTAATCTTTATTTACTTGAAGAAGTAAATAAAATAAACTTATATAAGTTAATAATAATGTTTGAATAATCTCCCCTTAATTTTCTCAAAAATTTAATTTTTTTTACAATCCCACAAGTTTTGAGATGTAAAAACATGCCTTTAACAATTTTTCTCAGGTTAGCTCATAATTTTTTATTAGAGTTCAATGTTTCATCTCATTAATTCAACAAAGAAACTGATTGCGCAAAGATCTTAAGTATTTGCACAAGGCCTTCAAAAATTGCCCCTTTGGGCTTGTAAATGAGATAATAGACATATGAGATTTGCATTGTCCATGAAATTACACTTAAATGATTAGTAAAGACATCTGCAAAGGACAGACAATCAAAAATTCTATTAGAGCAAAGAAGTCCTAAGAATTCAAGAAAAGAAGATAGGATGACTTTTTTACTTGTATAAGTAAAAAAATCTGAATGTCTAAGCATGCTAAGGAAAATAACTAAGCCCAATTTTTTTTTACCCATACAAGTAAATAAAATACACTTGTATAAGTATCCTACAAATTTACTTATATAAGTATATTAATATTTACTTCTTCAAGTAAATAAAAATTACTTGTACAAGTAGTACCCCCGACTGAATGAAGTCCCTGAGAACTAGTCCTCATCACCAAAAATTAAAATCGACAAATAAGCTATGGAAATTAGGTCAATGTCAGACAGACATGTATATGTCATTGAGTATACTAAATATACTTAACCTATTGCTATAGCATCTGAACAAAATGGACCTAATCACGAAAATTTTACTTGGTTATAATCAATAAAAAAGGGGTCAATTTCAAATAAACCCCACCTATCACACAAACATGTCCACCCTTTAATAATTTTATATACCCAAAAGAAGCTGTACTTTTTCTTATAAACAGATCTAATCAAGAAAACTTTATTTTACCACTTAACATAGAAAATGAAGTCTATGTCATGTGAATTCATGCCAAATAAGTACACACCTTAAACATGTTAAACAATCATTCTAAATTAAATACATGTGACTTATTGCTAATAGTATTAATAGTATCTGTGAAAAGGACCTTAAATCAAATCATTTAACATTGGTAACAATTGTCATGGTATAAAACCTAGCAAACAAATATGCACACTTAACAGTCATTGCATACACCAAATATAAGTGCCCATTTAATTATTGGATCTGCAAAACAGACAAAATCCTGAAACCTTAATCTATACAACTCATCCAATAAATCAAATCAGACATAACAAAAGCTCGATGTCATCTCCAAACATTCATGGATATCAGTAACAAGTTTTCTCTCATTTACAATTTCTGCTACTTATGAACTATTGTCTTCATTAAGAAAATGTAAGTCAATCATGTTCTCATCCTGACTTTCTTCAATGTTTGTAGTGTCACTTAGACATAATGCTTCAGATGGTTCCAGTGGCAAGTCCATGACATCTTTGGTGAATGGATATATTCCTGTTTTTCTAAAAGCTGATTGCAAATTATTAGTTGATAATGCATTTTTGTATGCTTTGCATACCATGGGGCACACATCATTGTGATCAAGTGCACAGTTTTTCGTTCTGATAGTTTTATGACACAAACTATTGTAGATATCTTGGAGAAGGCCATAACAACCTACATCCAGTGGTTGCAAAAAATGGCTGGTGTGTGCTGGAATTAACTGAAGTACAATATTATGATTCCTTGCCCATTCAAATGTGCCAACAGGGATATGAGATGTATGTCCATCTAACAATAACAGCACAAATCCAGTATCTGGGACTATTTTCATGAAATGATTGTGGAGAAAATCCATAAAAATGTCTGAATTAGACTCTCCAGTCTTAGAGACTGTGCCAACAGTCCCTGGTGAAGACCCCTCCACCAGCTTGTCATCCATTTTCTGCCCAGGGAAGATAAAGAAAGGAGGCAATGCATTGCCAATTGCGTTTCCACACCCCAAAATAGTGACTCTTTCACCTTTTCCTGAAATGGCAACACTTTTCTCATCAACATTGTAAATTAAATGAGGTTTGTCTATAAGGTTGTTTCTAAGTAAAGCTTTTTCAAGTTCATTAAAGTACTTAGAAATGTTCTCCTTGTTAGCAGTATTTGCTTTAACAACTTCCAATGCCCTTTGCTTTACAACTTTAAGATCAGGCCATCGTTTAATCATCCCACAGAACCAGGCCAGACTCAAGGGTTTCTCATTCTTGGTTTTCAGATCAAGTGTAATTGCATAGTCAGTTGCTATGTCCAAAACATCCTGACGATAATATCCATATCCAAGTTCACCCATTTCCATCAAGTGAGTCACCAATCTGCTTTCTTCATCTAAGGTAAATAAAGGTGCATTGCCCATGGTAGTACACTCAGGATCTATATTACCAGTCACTCTATCCCTGAGAGTCTGGAACGGTACACCATGTATTTTTGATGATGAACGGATAGAAAGCTTGTCATCAATGACAGCTTTATAAGCTGCTGCCATAGTTGACGTACTATAAGGTCGATATTTTTTATTACGCTTACCATGTATACCACCAGTAATTACAGTATCATGTGGATTGATCTACAAAAATACAAACAATGAGTAAATTACACAACTGCATTGAAACAATAGATTTGAATATAGTTTTTATAACTGTGGATTCATTGTTATTCGTAGTATACTAATTTTTTGTGGATTTCGCAGGTAAAGGTTAGCTGCGAATTTAAATGTTCAACTAAGTGCATGTTTTCTAAATGCTTGTACATGTATAAAGACTTTGGCAAACAACAAAAGAAAATATCAACGAAAATATATATTTTCTGCTAATCTACTAAAATAAAACCACAGTAAATTATCCTAATAATTAGATCTATAAAGCTGAATTGATTGATCTGAATAAAAAATGTTTTAAATTTGTTTATTAGTTTTTTTGTACTATTTTTAAATTGAATTTTGTATTCTTCCAGGAATTTCCATACTTGTTAATTTTCATTGCTTTTCTGCTATTTTTTTTCGCTATATGTAATTTTCACATCTTTTAAAGTAAAAATCACAAAAGGTGATTTGGAGAAGAGACACACCTTAAAATTTGTCCTTTGGTAGAATTACTATAGAAATTCGATTTGTTGAACCTCAGATTTACATTGATCTTCACCCACTCTTGCAGGACATTTGTATTAATATAAGTCAACACATTATATACAACTGTTTTAGAGAGAACATGTATGCCAATGTTATTACTTTAAGACTTTCAAACTGTTGAAACAAAATATAACAGTAATGAAAAATATACTACATGTACAAACATTTGGAATAAAATTTATTAATTCATTTTATTTTTATTTTTCAGGGAACAAGTATATCAACTTTAACTGCAGTCTTGTTATCTGGTTATAGCATAGCACAAAATGAATATAAAATGATTTTATATATCACCTACTGTACATTTATTACTATTGTTATTTATATCTCTTACTGTGTATTACTGCTTTGCATCACGGTGCAAAGCTATTAAACTCATACAATAATCATGGCATCTTGAAAAAAAATTGAGAATGGAAATGGGGAATGTGTCAAAGTGACAACAACCCGACCAACGAGCAAAAAAAAGATGAATGCCATCAATGGGTCTTCAACACAGTGAGAAAATTCCGCACCCAAAGGCCGCCTTCAGCTATTACAAACAAACATCCATTCTCATTGGTTGCCTAATGATGTGGAAAGGATTCTATTGTCAATATGATTTATATAATTGGAAACCTGTCCTGGATAAAAGATATTTAATATAGACAAAATTTGAGTTTGGATATTTGTTTATATTATGTATAACTATTGATTGGTGTTAAACGCCACTTTCAACACTATTGTGCTATTTTGTGCAGTCAGTTTATTTGTGAAGGAAGCCCGAGTGTCTGGAGAGAACTATGGACCTTCTGTGTGAAAACTGACAATCCTAGTCAATTAAGATTGGAGTCGAGTGCATCTGCCACGTTGTAGATTCGAACTCACAACCTCAGAGTTCACAGGCTAGTGATGCAGTAGTGGGACTACTTAGACTAATCGGCCACCTAGTCCAACTCTCATAATATTGAGTATATAATCTATATTTATCCATTATGATTTGTGCAAAAAAAATGCAGAAACAATAAAAACCATGTTTCATGTATAGCTCTTCAACCGTCTCAGTTCTAATACATCCTTGGCTTTCAAATATTTGGCTTTGAGCATTGTGAAGGTAAATCTAGAAAAGCGCTTCTGATGCATGAAATTTATAACGTGCTGGTATTTTTTCTGGCCATATTGACTTATTTGTTGATTTTACTTTTGCTGAACATTATTGCTCGACAATTTCTCTCTATCTATTATAGTTTATGCAAAAAAAATGCAGACACAGAGAACAGTCTCATTACTGAATGCAATTTTGATAATTAAAAAGAAATGTTGATATCAAAATGGCAATATTTTAAGTCAATGTACAGTAAATGGGCTATGTCATGTAATTTATCTGTTTTATTTCCTGATGTTTTGCACAATTATGTATTACTGAATTAATTCTTTCAAAATAGATGCATATTGAATAGAGAACACATACATGACATAACTCAGTGAAAAATACTGAAATTTTTCTTACAATCATTAAATTAAATCAAAAGTACTTTCCACCCAAAACCATATATATTTTAATATGAAATAAATGTGGATTGTGTCCACATGTGGACATCATATGATGCCCCCACTTGCATATCATATAGTTATAAAGGGACATAACTGAAGAACAGTAAAAGTGACGCTACCCAAATTTGAACTTGAGTTTTGTGGTAATAAGAAATGTGTGCAAGTCTCATAACATTTGGTTGAGACTAACTTAAGTAGAGAACAGAAACTAAAAATTCAGCAATTTTTCTATTTGTTAACAAGCATAACTCTAGAACGGTTGTGTATAAGTTTTATAACATTTGGTTGAGACAAACTAAAGTTAGAGAACGGAAACGAAAAATTCAGCAATTTTTATGTTTATAAAAGGTCATAAGACATAACTCAAGAATGGTAGAAGTGTCACCACCAAAATTTCGTACTTAATCTGTATTATGTAGTAATAAGCATTGTGTATAAGTTTCATAACATTTGGTTGAGGCAAACTTAAGTTAGAAAACGGAAACAAAAAATGTGTACAGTACTTGATCTTAGTTTTGTGGTAATGAATATTGTGTATAGGTTTCATAATGTTTGATTTGGGCAAAATTAAGTTACAGAATTGAAACTAAAAATTTTGCAATCTTTCGATTTATAAAGGGCATAACTCAATAATGGTTAAAGTGACTCTTGATTCTCAAATTCAACTTGATCTGTGTTTCATCAGTTGAAGTCAAAATTAAACATTGCATTGTATAAAGCATTGATTGTAGTTGATTCAAAGGAAGATAACTCCAATTTTCAAAATTACTTGATATTTAGAAGAAAATAATAATTTTTGCAATTTTTCCATTTATAAAGAGGCATAACTCTAGAACGGTTAAAGTGACGCCACCAAAATTCAAACTTGATCTGTGTTTTGTGGTAATAAGCATTGTGTATTAGTTTCATAACAATTGGTTGAGGCAAACTCAAGTTAGAGAACGGAAACCAATTTTGGGACGTATGTACGTACGTATAGACGGACAAGTGTAAAACTTAATGCCCCCACCGCTACGGCGGGGGGCATAAATATTAAAATCCAGTTAAAAATGTCATTTCTGTGTCAGATAACAGCTTAATAAATGTTGATTCCAAAAATATATGGTTTCTATACACTTTTGTTTGAAATAAGGGAGATAATTTATTACTTCCAGTTTGAAAAATGTCATTTCCAGTATTATTTGATAGGTTACTTGACACTGATCACAAAAATATATGGTTCTACACAAAAAAATGTATATACTTTTACATTAAAAAAGTACAATGAAAGTGCTGGATAGCACCTGTGGAAAGTTTGCAACGGTAGATGTGTATTATTTCAAATAGGTTGTAGATGTGTATTATTTCAAATATGTATTTGGTGTTTTCCCTAAACCATTGTCTCATCAGCAATTATCAAAAATCACTTTTTTCATATGTTTGTCATGTAAAATTTTGATAATTTCTATTGCAACCTTAAACTGTAGATTTAAAATATTCAAATACACAGAAAGCTCTGTTAATTTCTTTCTGTGCCCATCCCATGTTAAGGGGCTGTGACTTGATATTTTTTATTTATTAAGGTCCTTCATATTTGTTTTTAGTAAATTGTATTATTACTTATTAAGCAGTTAGTTTTCTGGTTTAAATTGTTATATATTGAACAAACTCGGACTACGATTAGTTAATTGTGTGGTTATTGGCTTTTTCTGACTTTTTTTTACTTAATACAAGAAATAATTGTAACAGGATGCTGTTACGAAGTCTCCCAAACAAAGCTCCCATAATTAGTCATTCCATTGGTTGCCTGACATTGGGCAAAGTCCAGTTCAAATTAATTTGGCCTAGTAAAGTGATATGCATAAATGAAGCCTAGGGATTAACCCTGCACCAATCCACACCAATAAAGAAGAAGATAGCTACATGTACCTGGCACCAATTTTACTTTCACATGCAGTGAAAAGTGTGAATTTGTGTTATAAAACTAAAATGTTGCCAATTAAGCTTTAAAATCTTTTATATATTTAAAAAAGTTCAAAATTTTTAAAAAATGGCCCAGAAATAAAACCATTTTCTTTCATGGTCAATGACGATGTTAAATATTTAGTGTCATTATACTCAGATTAAAGTAAGTACCTTTTCCTCTTTCTTTCCTTCTGGTTCTTTTTCCATATTTTCTCCTCCATCTGTCCAATTATCTTCTCCAGAAAACAGGCTATCACAACCTTTACATATGTGCTGCCCATTTTTCTTTTTAACACAATCTTTTGAAATTTTCTGACAAAGTTGACACTTCCACTGTTGTTTTTCAGCTTTAACAAAACTACCCATGCTTGTTGCTAAAGTTTTTGAATTTTCCAAACTACCCATGCTTGTTGATAAAATATTTGAATTTTCTGAACTACCCATGCTTGTTGATAAAGTATTTGAATTTTCTGAACTACCCATGCTTGTTGATAAAGTTTTTAATTTTTCTGAACTACTCATGCTTGTTGATAAAGTTTTCGATTTTTCTGAACTACCTTTGCTTGTGGATAAAGTTTTTGAATTTTCTGAACTACTCATGCTTGTTGATAAAGTTTTTGATTTTTCTGAGCTACCTTTGCTTGTTGATAAAGTTTTTGAATTTTCTGAACTACCTTTGTTTGTTAATAAAGTTTTTGGTTTTTCTGAACTACCCATGCTTGTTGATAAAGTTTTTGATATTTCTGAACTACCCTTGCAGGTTGATAAAGTTTTTGGTTTATCTACTTGTAACTCAGTAATAGTTCCCTCACTACTATTTTCATCTATATCAGTAATAGTTCCATCCGTACTATATTCATCTACCTCAGTACATATCAGGTCAGAAATTGTTGACAGTCTTTCAGTTTTTTCCGAAACCCCTTTTTTATCATGTACTGCAACATGTTCATATACGTGATCACTCTGTATGGTTCTACATTGACTATCTTGAACATGTTCAACAATTTTGAGTTTTTCTTTTTCTAGCTTTATCTGTTGTGAAAAAATATCTGGCCTTGTTAGAACCTCATTCTTTGATTGTTTGGAAACTCTTGCCTGTTTTTGTGGAATGTCGCTGCCAGTATTTGATGAGTCTGCATTGTTTTTTCTCTTGTTATTATCTACATAATCTGAATTCGACATCGAAATTTCTTCACTAGATTGAGGAATTTGACCTTTATTATTAAAAGTAGTGTCCCCTATTCTTTCCATTATAACATTATCTTCCAGTAGCTTAATAGGTATCTTCAGCGGAGCAGAAAAAGAGTCTTGGGCAATTTCTACTTCATAAAATACACAATTTTTATCATCCTTTTTTTGTCTCTTCTCCACTTCCTGTTTTAAATTGGAATCATTGTTCACAACACCTTGAACAGAAGATGTAAATATACTCACATCCAAAAAGGTGCAAAGATTCAACATTTCAAATGCCCGATCATGATTCAAGGTAAAACTCCCTGTATAAAGAGCTTGTACAAAATCATAAACAGTTTTCAATGAGTAACCTTTCAAGAAAACTTGACACTGTGTACTAGTACTGGTATCTGTTGAGAGCTGCTGCAGAAGGTAAGCACTGCCACAAGCCATCAGTACCAGTTTGTGTACAAAGACTACCCCATCTTTACATACAAGCCATGCATCACAAAACAGACCGGCTTGTTGTAACTGGTACATGTGTTTTGACAGATCTCGAGAGTATTCAGGAATAGTGATATTATAATCCATGATAGGCAGATGGAGACTGCTACCTAAAAAAGAATAAATGTGTTATCATAAATTATAAATTTTAAAAGTTAATACTTATTAATAAACATAAATCAGGCCATTGGTTTTTACATTTGAATTCTTTCTCATTTGGTTATGTTTAGGCCTGTTAATGCTTGCTATACTGTTTGTGTTTTGCTTATTGTTGAAGGCTGTACAGCAACCTACAGTTGCTAATATCTAAATGATTTTTTCTCTGGTGGAGAGTTGTCTCACTGGCAATCATACCACATGATGATGATGATGATAAAAGAGTTGGAAAAATTGTGGTTTTCCTTAGGCATGTTAGGCTAGGCAATACTCTTATTAATCATGTTAATGGGTAATATTGACCAATTTGATTTTTAAAGCTAACTCTTACACAAAATAGTGAAGACATATTACATATACTGTTATTTTATAGTACTATTGCTAACTACATGTACTTATATTTTACATGTTTATATACAAACAATGACAAATAACATCAATTGTAATTTATACATGTACAGATAAAGATTAAGATTTATTTTGTACCTGTTGTAGATAAACATTCAGTCATTGTCAGAGTCTAACAAAACAATGAAAAATTAATCAGAAATGGTAGCTCCCAAACTAATTTCTTCATTTTCTCAAATAATTCTATATAAACATGAGATACACATGTGATATAGGCAGAATACAAGTTTTCACATTTTTGATACTTTTTCATTGCTTGATCAGCTTTTAATTTACAGGGTGATCATATATCCAGTTGAAATAAAACAAAAGAAATGGTACTCTTTATTAGAGATGATTATTAAAAATGGCCAATATGAAAATAAGAAGATGTGGTATGATTGCCAATGAGACAACTGTCCACCAGAGACCATATGACATAGAAGTTAACAACTAAAGGTCATTAACAATGAGCAAAACCCATACTGCATTCATATAGCCAGCTATAAAAGACCCCAAAATGACAAATATAAAACAAACAGCCTGATTTATGTATAAAACAAATTTGCAATGACAGGCACATGTATACAGAATGTAAGTATATTGGAATTGTTAACATGTTTCTATGGGCTTTAAAAGTATAATGTAGGTAAATAATTTATGATTTTTTTTGCATCTCACAGTCAAGGGTGTAACTTAAATAAGTTATTAGAGAAAAAAAACATACATGCCAGTACTCTCAAATCGTACTTTCTTGTTGATACTAATTGTATTGCTTTTTTGTTATTTAATGTTATTCAGGGTTATATCTGGTCTATATACCAGCTTTTATAAGTGTTTGGTATTACTATAAATTTTCACTTCGTACTATGAACATCAAAATTATTTATTTTGTAAAAATATTTCCTTTCTCTATTGGAACTGTATACGTATACCTAACAACAAAATTATTTTCATTTACCTGTGTTTAAAGTTATTTCAAACGGCTGATATTTTTGTTCGAGCAGATTGTTTTTCTTTAATTGTTTAACATTTCATACCGATATAACATGTTACTTTTATTATTCTTCCCTTAGTTTATTTATTTTGTATTTACATTGTATCATAGGTCAAATTTATTTGTTCAGTGTATGTTCAATGGTGTTAATATGTCCTTTGATTGAGTTAAGCTATTTCAGTTGATATTTTATAGTGTGTCTTTCTATGTTGTGATGTTACACTATTGTTTCAGAAAAAGGGTGAAGGTTTGGTACCATTAAAACGTTTAAACCCGCTGCATTTGTTTGCACCTGTCCTAAGTCAGGAATCTGATGTTCAGTAGTTGACGTTTGTTGATGTGGTTCATAAGTGTTTCTCGTTTCTAGTTTTTTATATAGATTAGACCGTTGGTTTTCCCGTTTGAATGATTTTACACTAGTAATTTTGGGGGCCCTTTATAGCTTACTGTTCGGTGTGAGCCAAGGCCCCGTGTTGAAGACCGTACTGTGACCTATAATGGTTTACTTTTATAAATTTTGACTTGGATGGAGAGTTGTCTCATTGGCACTCATACCACATCTTCTTATATCTATGTGTTATTACAGATAATTTCATGAGTTGTCTGCTCTTTCTTTCTTAATCTGTAGTAACATATGTTTGTTATTAGTTATTTTTATTTTTAGTGGGCTCTTCACTGGGGTTTCTTGAAACTTTGCGCAGAAACTTAATACATAACCTTGATAATTAATTTTCCAATTCAACTAATACATTTTTGATCAACCATGGTAAATCAATTACTTGGAATCTCGGACAGAACCTCATTGCATGCTCTGATCATTATTTCTTACAATAAATTAAAATACATTGTGATATATGTCTGAGAAATGGCTTTGAAGAGATGTAGAGAATTAAGCTGTAATAGCACCCTTTAGTTATTACAGGCATATATTTTCTGTAATAACATAGGTGTACTATACATGATTGGCAAACTATGAACTGTAATATCTTTCTAAAGTTTAGTATACATAAAGACAACAATAATACCAATAGAACTTGTATACAATTTAACAAATTAAAGGATGTATATTGCCTCTATGAAGCATGTAACATACATATGTTATCGTAGTTTTTTGATATTTTATCCCACAATAACGACATGTATGTTATTTTTCTCTAATAACTTATTTAAGTTACACCTTTGACTGTCTTATATACGCGCTTATACTTAAATTTATAGTATGGAGCTACAAGATATTTGTAAACTTTTAAATTAAAGACAAATTTTCACTAGACAGTCGATTATGGTAGGTGCAAATACTTGTGGATCTTTTTGTGCATAAAGCATAAATTCCACAGAAAGATAAAAGATTGATATTTTTAAAGCAATAAAAAAAATTAGGGAATAAATCCTAAAAATAGGCAATTATCTCATCAAAAAGAGAAAGTCAGTACACCTTTTTATGTTCAGTCATATTTCTTCTTTAAATTTTGCTCAAAACACAAAAGAGGGTAATCACTCCTATGAAGAGTGACATTCTATTAACTACATCTGCAAAATTTAACTTGTTTGTGGATCGTGTCTTGCTGATTTTATTTGGTTTTTAAAGTTTCTATCCACATGTATCTATTATAATTTTAATCATATAAGGCAAAAACGCAAAACCAAAACAGAAAAAAATTGTCATTAAAGGGCAATAACTCTAATAAGTAGTCATACGAAAATTTCCTCTGTATTGTCTTGAATATAGATCTTGTCTTGCTGATAATTTTTGCTACTTTAATTTTCTATCTATCTATCATAATTTTTAAGATATAAGGCAAAAAACGCAAAAAAAATAACTCTGATGAGAAGTCGCCTGACAAAGGAGTAGGTTCAGTAAGACCCCTTTTTGGCCCTAAAATATAGCAGTTTTACAAAATTGTTAAAATGTAAACTTTTAGCTATTTATGGAAAGTAGAATACTTCTGCTACATAAATATGGGCTGTTTTTGACAATACAATGCACATATATCGGGTTCTAGCATCATTAAGTCATGCTAAATTATTGAAATCTTCACAATTTTAGCATTTGAGTTAAATTTTCGACGGTTTCTGTCTTAAATGGAAGTGGCCGCACTTGTGTTCATTCTTAATATTTAAATGTAAGTTGTATTTGATGATAATACATAACATATATAAATGTTGAGAGTGAACAGGGATGCGGCCACTTTCATTTATGACAAAAACCATCTGAAAAGTGACATATTATGGCATATTTGATAGATTTTTCATATTTAAGCTTGAATGTGAGCATCTTAAATGACTAAATCTGTTCAAATCTTTCACATAAACTAATTGAATCGACTGAAGTAGACACTTAAGTGTTTAAAAAGCGTCCAAAATCTTTCATCAGATGAACCTAAAATTTGAAGCCAAAATCGGCCCTTACCGGACCTACTACTTTAACTTTAATGAACAATTGGCAGAGCTCAACATTCTGAACATTTTTGCTATTGTCAGAATTTCTCTTTTCATAAACATGATAAAGGTTTACAAAATAATGAAATAATAGACAAGACTTGCATTTCACTCTTATGTTTTATTTTTAGCCATGTCAGCCATCTTAGTTGGCTGGAGGGGGTCATATGACACATTTTTTAAACTAAATACCCTTATGATGATTGTGGCCAAGTTTAGATAAATTTGGTTCAGTAGTTTCAGAGGAGAAGATTTTTGTAACAGTTTACTATAAACGGACAAGTGATGAGAAAAGCTCACTCGACCCTTTGGGCAAGGTGAGCTAAAATAGTAAAAAGTACTTGACGATCAACTTAACAAGTGGATCTTAAAAATGCATATCTTCAAAAAATGAGATGTGTGTATTGTCTAGGGTAAAATTTGTCTTCAATCTCAGAAAATGTTTAGTCTGCCCTTCCATCATGTCCATGAAATATTTAATAAAAATTTTTATAATGTTTTTTTTTTTACTTTCAAAAATTTG